CAATGGGCCTGCTGCTTCTGCAATCCATGCCCTGCTCCATACTTGCCTTTCTTAGCCACTCCTTGGCCTAGGGCTCAGGGCTCTTCTCCTTTACTGGGCCCATGTTCATGATGACCTCTTCCTGCAGGATGAGAAAGGAGTGTTCAACTTTGACCCCGAGACAGTGATCAACCCGGAGACTGGAGAGCAGGTGGGGTAGCTTGCCTGGAGCCCCGGTATCGAGTGTGTGGATGGAGTGAAATCTGATTCCTCTGTCTCCCCTCCCAGATTCAGAGCTGGTACCGGAGTGGGGAGACATGGGACAGCAAGTTCAGCACCATTGCTTCGAGTTATGAAGAGTGCCGGGCTGAGAGTGTGGGCCTCTACCTCTGCCTCAACCCCCAAGTGCTGGAGTAGGAGCAGGAGGCCTGGAGGGGTGGGGGCAGGGGACCACCCAGGAGGGCAGAGCCCTCATCATCCCTCCCACCTGCCCCTCTCTCCCCCAGGATCTTTGGCTTTGAGGGGGCTGATGCAGAAGACGTGATCTACGTGAACTGGCTCAACATGGTTCGGGCAGGGCTGCTGGCTCTTGAATTCTACACCCCAGAGGCCTCCAACTGGCGACAGGTAGGGCTGGGTAGAGCCTGCAGGAGGCAGGAGGGATTCTGGGTGCTGAGATGGGACAGCTGTGTTTCTAAAGCAGGTGAAATAGTTTAATCTCAGACTCCACTGCTAGTGCAACAAGTCAGGTCCCTGCTATGAGTGCAACCCTGTCCTGGACTGAAATGAGAGCAGTAATCTCTCCCTGGCCACCCTTTGGGGTGAATCAGATCAGGGTGTCACTTGAACAGGTCATGAACAGGTCACATACCACGTATCACCGTGTTCATAGTGCTTATCACCTCATTTCAGTTAACTGTTGCTCCCCGCTTCACCCCCAGAAGGTACACATTGTTATTATCCTCACTTTAGAGATAAGATAATTGAGACAAAGGGATTAATTAACTCCTCGGTAAGGCAGAGCCAGCATTCAAATCTGCAGAGTCTGCCTCCAGAGCCACTGAGCTTGGCCACTGAGTTACTGTACTTTGGAAATAGGGTAAACAAATATTTTTTTACATAAGTATGGTTTGTGACATCAAAACAATATATATTTTAGCCAGGTGTGTTGAGTACTCGCCTCTAACACCCACCCTGGGAAGCTGAGGCAAAAGAATCACAAGTTCAAGCCCAGCCTGAGCAAATGAGCAAGAACCTGTCTCAAAATTTAAAAAATGTCTAGGGGACGGGGGGCGGAGCTCAGTGTAAAGATCCTGGTTTCATTTCCCATTACTCATGGAAAAAACAACCTCAAAAAACAACCGTGCACTCAAAAGAAAAGAATACATATGATAGTTTCTAAAAACTTAGGTCTGTGTCCTGGCTCTTCCTTTACCATGTCTGTGACTCTAAGCAAGTACTTCACTTCTCTGGGCCTTTTATGTGTCATCTGCAAAATGCACAGTCACATTGTTGAGCACCAACAAGACTGAAGAAGGGAACTGGCCATGGTGACACATACTGGAATCGCAGCTGCTCTGGAGGTTGAGGCAAAGAACCATAAGTTTGAACCCAACCTGGGCAACTTAGCAAGACCCTATCTCAAAAAACAAAAAAAGAACCAAAATGAAGCTCAGTGGTAAACATGCACCTAGTATGTGTGAAGCCCTACATTCAGTCCTCAGTACCATACATACCAAAAAAAAAAAAAAGATTAGAGAAGAGAAAGACCTGAGTCTTGGTATTGAAGGCCTTTGGGTGCAGCTGCTGTCTGGAGCAGTGGAAGTGTGCAGGGTGACATGGGGAAAAACCAACGTACCTGGAAATGGCCTTCCTATTCTCCAGAGCAGCCTGACCTCCCTGTGAGCAGAGGTGGGAGGAACGATTTCAATGGCAAGAACTAGGCAGAAAAGAACCCACAGAGTGGAGAATACCCAGCAATAATGACTAGCACTGAGCATATACAATATTTCAGACCACGGGACAAGCACAGGATGCTGGTTGTAAATGACTCCTTTCTCCCTTGCCTGGCAGGCACACATGCAGGCCCGGTTTGTGATCCTGAGGGTCCTGCTAGAGGCTGGTGAGGGACTCGTAACAGTCACCCCCACCACAGGCTCCGATGGGCGCCCAGATGCTCGAGTCCGCCTTGACCGCAACAAGATCCGGTCGGTGGGCAGGCCCGCCCTGGAGCGGTTCCTACGGAGGCTCCAGGTAAGTAAAGGTCTTGATCCTTGGGCTCCCCCAATGTCTGCCCCATCGCCCATCCTATATTAACACATGCTTGCTCAGCAAGTGCTTAAGGCAAGTATTTTCGAAGTGCTGGGTACTGAGTTTCTCAGGTAATAGTGAGGGAAGGTAGACAGTAAACATGCAAACAATAGATGAATAAGCAACCTTCATAGTACCTGCTTATAATCTCTGCACTTGGGAGGCTAAAAAAGTTGCTTGGACAATTTAGAGAGGCCCTGCCTCAATATAAAAATTAAAAAGGGCCGGGATATAACTCAGTGTGAAGGCCTTGGGTTTAAACCTTAGTACTGTTAAAAAAAAAAAAGGGAAGATACCTTCAGATCATGGCAAAAATTATACAGACAGTCAGATACAATGGTCAGTGAGACTGGAAAATGAAGGGCCAGCTCTGCCTCTATGATCAAAGTGTGCCTCCTGAACCAGCAGTGCCACATCACCTAGAAGCAGATCTAATCCCAGCATTCGGGAGGCTGAGGCAGGAGGATCATTGTGAGTTCGGGACCAGCCTGGGCTACAAAGTGAGCTCAAGGCCAGCCTGAACTGCATAACGAGACCCTGTCTCAAAAAGACAAAAGACAAAAAAAAAATGCAGATTTTTGAGCTCCACCCCAGGTTTCCAGAATCAGAATCTCAGAGGGCTGGGAGCCAGAATTTGCATGTCTGCCAGCCTTTTAGGGATTCTAGTGCTTACCAGAGTTTAACCACTAAGAAGCTGCTCTTTTTGTACAATTCCTTCCACAAAACCACAGTCCTGTTGGTCCTATACAAATTCCAGCCTTTAATTCATAAATCATAAATTTATGATTTATGGTACACAATTTTTAAAATCATGAGTCACAGTATCTTTTTGTGATTTTCCTCCTATTTCCAGAAAGGACTTAAGGCATTTTCTTTTTTTTGGTCGTTTTCCTTTTTATCGGTACCGGGGATCAAGGATTTAAGGCATTTTCTATAAAAGACATATGTTTATCCCTTAAAGTAAAATAAAATTAGAAATTAGCAGCCAGGAATATAACCCTGTAGTGAATGCATGCTTAGCCTGTGAACCCCTGCTTTTAATCCTTAAGATCACCTAAAAACAATTAGACATTAAAATATCACTAGATGTCAAAACATAATGTCATGCCCGGGGTATGCATTTAGCTCAGTGGCACAAGGCCTGCCTGACAAGTGTAAGGTCCTGAGCTCTATTCCCAGTGCCAAAACAACAACAACACAGTGGTGGCAAACGTATTTAGTAGTTAATAGAAATGGGTTGATTACAGGAGAGATGATAACAGGTAAAACTGGGCTAGAGCATATGGGAACTCCTGTACTCTCTTTGCAACTTTTCTGTATATCTAAAATTATTCTAAGGTAAAATTGTTAATAATATAACCCAGAAGGTTATCTGTAGATGAACAAACAAACCAAAAAAAGAGGAATAAAATTCCCAAATCATTAGGTCTGCTAACCACTAGCCCAGACTGAATTGCATCTTAGCATGCAGAGCTTTCTGGCTGCCTCTTCTAGGGTCTTCTGGGCCCCTCAGTCTCTGTCCAGCATAGTTTTCAGTCTCCTGAGGAATAATTTTAGGGAAGTTACAGAGTATGGAATTGTTGGGTCAGGAATTTAGCTCAGTGGCACAAGCGCCTGCTTGGCAAGTGCAAGGTTGGGAGTTCAGTCCCTAGCACCAAAAAAAAAAGGGATTGTTTTGGGTGTGGCTATTTGTGTATTAGCTCCCAGCAACTGCTAGGAACACGACAATGGAACAGCAAGTAGGGAAAAACTTCATCCCCAAGGGTCCCAAAACACAGCCACATTTTTGGCCCACCTTGTGTTATAAAAGTTGGCAAAGTTTGGGTATCAGTCTCTATTTCTGACTTCATAGAAGGTCTGACAACACTAGCCTGGATTCCCGGGGACTGTCTGGAACTGAATAGCAGCCAGCGTTATGTATTGAACATGTATAGTCTTTTCTTGTCATTATTACTTAATGTAGTTTATGATATACACATTATCTTTATTATTATAAGTAACCTATAGAGTAAAATGCACTGGAACATGTGTGTTGGTTATATTCAAATATCTTATGTGAGGTCCTTGAGCATGCACAGATCTTGGGATCTGCAGAGGATGCTGGAAACAGTGCCCCAGAGACTGTGCCTGCCTGAGTCACTTGTCTGAGTCACATCACAGTGTATCTGGCTCCCGTTGTCAGCTGAGTTGCCAGATTTCTTTTTGAACTCCTAGAGTCTGAAAAGAGTATGAATTTAGCACCTCGTGGGTATTAAATACTATCAAAAGGAAAAGTCATTCTATCTCTGAATCCAAGAAGGATTCTTATCTGGATGGAGCCCTAAGTCCAGGTCCTACTTTACCATTTGCGCATGGGCACGACAAACAAGGATGAGACCCACAAAATATTAGATCTTTGGGAAACAACGAAGTAGAGCTATTTGAAATAAACTAGGTAATCACTGAAATTTGATAAATAACCACTGAAATTTTAAAGGGCAGGTTAACTAGTAGACAGGATGAACAGGTTTTTTGGTTTGTTTTTGAGACAGTCTCACTAGGTAGTTCAGGCTGTCCTTGAACTCACTGTGTAGCCTAGGCTGGCCTCATACTCACTGAGTTCCTCCTGCCTCAGCCTCCTGAGTGCTGGGATTACAGTCAGGCATCATCATGCCCAACTCTACACAGGTTTCATATTCAGCTGATAATAAAAGAAATTATACAGCCTGTAACAGCATTCTGGCAGTGATGACCTCCGCACATACCATGCCTCTCGCAAAGATTACCTTCGTCCCTCTCCAGAAGTGGAGAAGAGGAAACACAAGACACTCCTGGTGCAGAGCCCCGATCCCTACTTCATTGATGTGAAATGCCCAAAATGCTGTAAAATGACCACGGTCTCCAACCATGCACAAACGGTCATTTTGTGTGTTGGCTGCTCCAGTGTCCTTTGCCAGCCTACAGGAAGGAAAGCAAGGTTTATAGAAGGAAGCTCCTTCAGGAGGAAGCAGCACCAAACACCTGGAAGCAAGATGAGTAGGAAACCATTCCACACATAAATATACTCTGGGTTAAATAAATAACAGAGAAAAAAAAAACACAAAAAAATTCTGTAGAGGTGAGGAGGGAGGAAAGTGTGAGAAGGTCCAATGTATGACTAACTAAAGCTCCAAAAGAAAAAGATAGAAAAATGGTAGGAAAGGGTATATGAGGACGGCCATTGGCTGAGAATATTCTAGAACTGATTATAGACTCCAAGCAAGTGCAAAACCCAAGAAGAATAAGAGGAACCACTACCTAAAAAGATCATAGAGTAACACCAAAGGCTGACGACAGAAAGTGCCAGAAGCAGCCATAGAATAAAGACATTGCCTATAAAGGGATCATAATTAGACTGCGAACTGACGAGAACACAGAGTGTGCCAGACAACAGTGAAATGATACCTGCAAGGTGCTGAGGGTAAATAGCTGCCAGTACCCTGTGAACTGAACTTTAACAACGGGAGCGGATAGGCTGGGGGTGCAGCCCGGTGGTGAAGATCCTGGGGTCCATTCCCAGCAACAGAAGAGGCAGGAGCAGGAGAGAGGATGAAAGCCTTTTTTGGTGTTTTCAGTTTTTTTATTTCATTAGTTTAGCTGCTTACATTGTGGTGTTGTTATTTTTTAAACAGGGTCTCACTGTGCAGTTCAGGCAAGCCTTGAACTCACTATGTAGCTCAGATTGGCCTCAAACTCATGGCAATGCTCCTGCATCAGCCTCCCAAGTGCTGGATTATAGGCATGTGACATTAAAGACATTTTTTACACAGATAGGACCAGTTTGCCATTAACAAACACTCAGTAACAGAACCTCTACAGGATGTGATTTAAGACGTAAATCCATTCACCAGACATACCAGGATGTTCAGAGCAGCATTTAATAGCAAAAGACACAGATTAGGTCTGTGGATGTGACACACTGATAGAGCTTATATTTAGCATGCAGGAAGCCTGGGGTTCAATCCCCAACACCACTTACGCACAGAACCAAAAGAAACATAGATTATACATCAACAGTAGAAAAGTTGTGGTATCTTTATGAATGGATAACAGTGTTAAGGAGGAACTAGCATGGATGAATCTAAAACATAATTCAAGCAAAAAGGGCAAATCACTATACAGTTCCAAAGAGGCAATGTTAGAAATGGCAATGTATGCTTGTAATCCTAGCATTTCGGGAGACACAGGCAGAGAATCTCAAGTTTGAGCCCTGCATGGGCAACTTAGTGATTTTACAATACTCTGTTAAAAAATAAAAAGGAAGCTGGGGATTTAGCTCAGCGGCATAAGCGTCTGCCTTGCAAGCAGACGGTTGTGAGTTCGTTCCCCGGTACCAATAAAAATGAAAAAGACAAAAAAAAAAAATAAATAAATAAAAAGGAAAAAAAAGTTTAAAAAGGAACTAGGGTATAGCTCAGTGTAAATTCAGGCCCTGGATTCAGTACTACCACCAAAAAAAAAAGACAAAAATTTAAAATATTAGATGATACAGAATGAAACTCTGCAAGGAAATTGAACAGAATTGAGAACAGTGATTCATTCCGATGGGGACACCACACTTAGACTAACTCTTACTTGGGCTGCTGAAAGCCTGAGTGGGTGTCTTTCATTACCTTTCATGACAAACATTATTTTTTGTGCGTATGACTTGTTTTTTGTTTTTTTTGTCTTTTTCCTTATCGGTACTGGAGATCGAACTCATGACTGCCTGCTTGCAAGCTTATGCCGCTAAGTTGAATCCCCAGCCCCTGACCTGTTTTTTTAAAAAGAGGGTGATGTGGTGCCCACTTCATCTACACGTCAAATGAGAAATCTTCACTTCAGTTCAGCACATTTATAGCGAGCTAAGCACTTGGTCTGCACTTCCCCCTCATTCAGCACAGTCTGCCTTAGCCACCCAAGTGCTGGGATTAGAAGTGTGCACCGCCATGCCCAGCTGGAGGAGCCCCCTTGACATGATCTTCACCTCTTAGTAGTATCACATTAGCTTCTAAGTCTACATACCTGAATCTTGAAGGAGACAGTGAGCCATGGCCCCTGGCAGAGCGCTGCAGATACAAGGTAGGTGCTTACTCCTGCCTCTGTTCCTCCAGGTAATGAAATCCACAGGGGACGTGGCTGGAGGACGGGCCCTGTATGAAGGGTACGCAGCGGTCACTGACGCACCTCCCGAGTGCTTCCTGACCCTCAGGGACACAGTGCTGCTGCGCAAGGAATCCCGGAAGCTCATTGTACAACCCAACACTCGCCTGGAAGGTAATGGGGTAAGGGGGTTGATGGGGACCATGCAGGGCCTTTGGAGCACAAAGGATGCACTTGGACAAAAAAACCTCAGTATCTACCACCACCACCACCGGGCTGTGCCGGTTGTCGGCAGCAGGCTGGAAGGAGGCCAACAGAGCAGGGGTCCATAGTGACCAGGCCAGAAACTAGACAACCATGGCTGTCAGTCACCCTGCTATGAGGTCAGGTCAGGCAGTGTCCTATGGCTCAGCAGGCTACGTGGAACTCAAGGGAATTTTGGACTCTGCTATCAGCCCAGCATCCCTGTCCTTTCTCAGGTGACAGGTTCATTTCCAGAAGCTTGAATCAGGCCGTACAGTACTTCTACCTTGTGTGCCTTCCATTTCTCCAGCCCACTGAGCTCTCGCCACTCCTGTAACCTTTGGACATGCTGTTCCCTCTGCTTGGCATAAGCATCTCCCAGATTGTATCTGTCTGGTCCTTCTTGTCATTCAGGTCTCTGTTAAATTGTTCTTCCAAAAAAAAAAAAAAAAAAAAAAATTGTTCTTCCAGAGAATCGTGTCCGCAAACAACTCTAAGCCGGCTCCACATTTTGTTTCTCCTTGGTGCAGCACAGCAGAGGTGGAAAGGTGCTAGCATAAAGTGCTTCCCATTAACTCTTGCTCTGTTCTTCAGTTTTCACTTGGCTATTCTCTTGCCTGTCTTGTCTCCATGAGAGCAGGAACAGCATACCCAGGAACCCATACCAGGAACAATATATCCTGCCACAGTACAGGGCCCATCACGCAACAGCTGCTACATGTAGTCAAATGAGTGTGTGAAGAAATCTTGGCAGCTCCATGGAGAATACCATCATAGCTTTGATATGTCCAGGCCTATATGAGCCTGTGGGGGGTTAAGAGGTATAAATGGAACCCAGGCCTTGCCCTTGAGTCGTTCCCAGCCCTGTTAGAAATGATGTGACATGGAGATATAATCATACACAGGAACTACCAATGAGACCCAAAGATGCTAACAGTGCTCTAGATGCTTAGAAAAAAGAAGGTTCCATCTACCCTAGAAGATCTAAGTAGGAAGTGACGATTAAGCTAGACCTGAAAAGAGAAAGTGGGATTTTCAAAGTGCTGATGATGATAGCTAATTTTTGAGGACTTCCAAATAACAGATATTTGGTAAAACATTTTCCATAATTATCTCCCAACAATCAGTTATCCCCATTTTTCATCTGGAAACAGAGATACAAAAGGGATGCATATAAGCTCTAAGAGCTTTAAGGTAATAAAGCTAGAAAGGGACAGAGTCAAGACTTGAATTTGAGCCATACGAACCCAAAGTCTGTGCTCTTAACTACAGTACACCTTACAGTGCCATGAAACATCAGGTGCTGTGAAAGGGTAGAGCAGTTGAAGTGTGACAGAGGGAAACATGTCCCATGCATACTCAAGTGACTCTCAGGTCAGGCCCCTTTAACAGGTGAATAATCAGGCTCAAAAGTGATGCTGCTGGTAGCAGCTAGCATTTGTTCAGCCCTCAGGTAGTGGATTGGTGTGTGTGATCACCATAGTTCTTTGAGAGAGATACTGGGCTCACTCCTACTTTATAGCTGAAGAAAATGTCTCATAGATACCAAGGAACTTGCCCAAGTTAGACAGAAAAGAAGCAGTTACTGGGCTGTTAAGTTCCAGGAGGCCAAGGACTGTATCTGTTTGACTACTTCTTAGGTGAAACAAGATACAAATCTTTGGGGGCTGGGGATTTAGCTCAGCGGCATAAGCGCCTGCCTTGCAAACAGGCAGTCGTGAGTTCGATCCCTGGTACTGATAAAAAGGAAAAAGACAAAAAAAAAAAAAAAGATACAAATCTTTATGTTAGTGAGAGCCAGACAGGGCGGGGAGTGGACTGGGTTTGCAGTAGTTAACTTAGTACTCCCTTATAATATTTCCTTCCTCACAGAATGATTGTACGGATTAAGATAATTACCCTAAATAGTGAACAGTTTGGGACATGAAAGCTCAGAACCAGTTGCTCCTGTGATCAATCATTATGATTTAACTTACCTGTTTGCTTTCCACAACTCAGGCTCAGAAGTGCAGCTTCTTGAGTATGAGGCCTCTGCAGCTGGACTCATCAGATCCTTCTCTGAGCGCTTCCCAGACGATGGGCCTGAGTTGGAGGCGGTTCTCACCCAGCTGGCCACTGCTGATGCCAGATTCTGGAAGAGCCCCAATGAGGCCCTGTCTGGCCAACCTTGAAGACTTTGTGCGGCTCTTCCCTGTACTCCATCCAACTAGGGCTGTGTCTGGCCCTCCATTTTTTAATTGGGGGTAGGGAAGGGGCAGAGCTGGGACTTTGGTGCTACCTCAGCAGAGGGTGGTTACATTTAACCTTTCCATTTGTTGACACTTTCTGATTTACCAAGTGCTTCCCTTCTGTTATTTGATCTGTACTGCCTTCTGTGGAATGGACAGTACAAGGCTCTTTATCTGGTCTCCCAGATGAGAAAATGGCTGTTCTGAGAAGTGATTGATCTAGATCAGGGAGGTGATATGTGGTAGAGCTGGGGCTCAGATGTTCTCACCAAATCCAGTGCTCTTCATGTATGACTTTTATAACTAGAAAAATAAATATTAAAAACAACCACCATCTTTGCAATATACATGATTCCTTTCTTTTACTGTCTGTAGGGCAATGGGATCAAGGCCTGGGGAGGGGTTTAAGAGACATATTTTGCCAACACCAACTTCCCCATCCACAACAGGATTTCTGCATAACAGCACAATTTTTGCAACCCTCCTTTGTTGCTTTTTTTTTTTTAAAGTTTCACTATGGGATTCAGGCTGGCCTTGAACTCACTTTGTAGCCCAGGCTGGCCTCACACTTGCAGAGATCCTCCTGTCTCAGCTTCCTGTGTGCTGGGATTACAGGCATGCACCACCATGCCCAGCTTTGTTGCATTTAAAAATATTCCAGAAGCCTAAAAACAGAAACCAACTTTAGTCAGCGTTTGTCATATTGCTTCCGTAATTCTCGTTGGTTTTTTTTTTTCTTTTTTTTTTGTGAGCCTGGACCTCTTAAGTGACTCTTTCATAGCCAGAAGGACCATAGCCCTTTTCAACTGGGTTAGCCATGAAGATGTTCATTTAGGTGCTTATAAACCTAACAGGGGCTCCTCTCTAGGCCTTGAACTCAAACGCTGTAAATCCTAGAAATCATACATCAAAATAATCAGGGAAGACGGACTGCGCTTCAGCAATCTGCGCCCAGCAATGACGCCACTGTATCTTGGCCTAGCTTGGGAAAGTTTTACCCCGGAACCTTTGTACGCGTGCTTCCGGGTACCCGGGCTCTACCCTGCTCGGCGCAGCGGCGGGGGCGGAGCCGGTTGCCAAGACGACACCTAAGAAGATGGCTGCTGTGTCTTCATCCGATTGCGATAGCGGCGGAGCTGAGAGGTGAAGGCCCGGGTCATCAAAACTTCTTTTCCCACAGATGTAAAGAGGGTACCTTGGTTCCCCAGCTCTAGAGTCCTGTGGTTCTTGGGCATCGCTGGAAGTCCTTGAAGGGCTCTGAAAAATCAGATAGGGTAACCAATGTCCAGGGAGTGCCGGACTCCAGATCACTCGGTGTGCCAGTTCGGTGTGCCAGTTCAGGGCCTAGACAGGGACCCAGATTTTTTTTTTTCCCCAGCTGACAGCCCTCCCTCCCAACTCATCTTACACACAGCTCCCTCAAAGTTTTCCTCCGCACCTGTCAGTCTCACTTCCCTGCTCTTTCTCCCGACTTGCAGCAATGAGACCAATTCGAAATGGCTGGACGCACACTACGACCCAATGGCCAACATCTACACCTTTTCTTCTTGCCTAGGTGAGTCTGGAACTAGGATCTCTGAGTTCTAGGAGAATGGGGTAGTCAGGTAATAGCCCCCACGGTGAATCTGGAAATTGGACCTCGGGTCTTACGAATGCTATGCAATGTGTCTGATACTGAGATTGATGTATGGCCTTGTGTTAATTTTCCAGCACTGGCAGATTTGCATGGGGATGGAGAGTACAAGGTAAGCAATTGAAAAACAAATTGGTGGCAGCGGAGTAACCCGGAAATAAGATTTCCCAGTGGCTCCAAAGAGGTTTAACATAATCTGGAATTCTCATGTATTGTAAAAATCATATTTATGTTAACTTTTCTTTTAACTTTATAAATGAAGTGAACTATTGATTTCATAATACAAACTGAAGAAAATAAAGCAGAACAAAATGCTGCTGGGAATTCTATTATGACAGAGCCTTTTATTTTACTTACCTTAACATGATTCTTTGCTAGCACAAACTCTTGGCTAAAAGTGGGCATTATAGTATGGAGAAAAGGTAAAAGGAAGGAAGGGGGAGTTTTCTTTTTTTTTTTTGGTATCAGGGATCAAACTCATAACTGTGCGCTTGCAAGGCAGGCACTTATGCCACTAAGCTAAGTCCCTGGCCCTAGAAGTGAGAGTTTTATGTTTATGAAGAGGACATAGATTTTAAGGTTCACTATGATCTGATAATTATTGAAGCTAGATAATGTGTTCATTATACAAGCCTTTCTTCTTTTGTGTACAATTGGAAATTTTCCATAATAAAAAGGTCAAAACTTAAATTCAATATAAAGATAAATAAAATTATAAAGAAAAAATATTTAGTTCAGTGTTAGTTATGCATGTTCTGCGTTCAGTCCCCAGCACCAGCAAGAAATACTGAGTGGACTAATTGGAATAAAAACATCGACTGCCACCTGTTCCTCACAAGCACTCACCCAGGTTCTGTAATTAACTGTCTCACTTGGTTTTCACCACATATGCCTTTTGCAAGTGGCAAACCTCAGCTTCAGAAAGGTCAGCTAACTTCCCCAAAGATCTGACAGCAGATCATTTGGTAGTATGGGGTGAGTCAGTTAGCACCAGCTAGAAGGCCAAGATTAGAGAGGGGTCAGTCATTCAGTTCCTCTGTCTGGAATGAGCCATCTTCTTCTGCAGCTGGTGGTTGGAGATTTTGGACCAGATGGTCGGAATCCTCACCTGAAGGTGCTCAAAGGACCAACAGTACTGACAGAAAGCCCACTGCCTGCTCTGCCAGCTGCCGCCGCCACCTTCCTCATGGAACAGCATCAGCCCCGGACTCCAGCTCTGGCACTGGCTTCAGGGCCTTGTGTCTATGTGTATAAGAATCTAAGACCCTACTTCAAGTTTGCTCTGTCCCAGTTGCCTCCAAATCCTCTGGAACAAGACCTTTGGGACCAGGCGAAGGAAGTAAGTAACAAAGGGGATGGGACCTGGAAGGCAAAGATAGCAGCCACTGGTGAGATGGGCCAGGCTCCCAGTAAGAAGGGTAGGGTCCTCAGTGAGCCAGGGGTGGGAACTTAGCCACAGTCCATAACTAGCAGCAACAGTGGTGGCTCCTCTAGGTGAGTGCAGTGCTCAACCCTCAGCTGTGGCTCCCCCTCAGCTGAAGGCCCCCAGCAGGCCCCTTTGAAAGTGGAACCTGTGGAATCCTCCTGAGTAGGCACACATCTACCCATCTGTCAGGGGAAGGAAACTAAAGAAGAGTGGGGCTCCCCAGGGGAGAAGGGACAACTGGAAGCAGCAAGAGCAAAGGACTTTAAGGAGGCCTGGACAGAGATGATTCTGTGCTTGGGCATGCCTCCAAGGCTGGATTCTAATCAAGAACACTGGGTTTGGGGCTCAGGGCAAGGACAGATTGGGAGGGAGGTGGGAAAGGAAGAGGAACTGCTAGAAGTGTAAAACTCCCTACGGGGATGGATGCCAGGGGTCACAGGCTCTCCCTTCTGCTCTCCCAGGATCTGATCGACCCCTTAACCTTGAAGGAGATGCTGGAGGGCATCCGGTAAGAGCTCACCTTCCCATCCCTCCCGTACTCCTGCATCCCAGAGCTCTCAGTCTGACCACTGGGGCATGGTTCCTCCACTAAACCTGCCATCCTGGGGACTCTCCTGACAGGCAGAAGGCAGAAATACCTTTGTCCGTGCAGTCACTCAGGTAAGGACCCTGCAAGACCTGGGGGAAGGTGTATGGCTGTTGACTGCCCAAGGCAGTCAGGACCAAGCATGCAGATGCCAGTTCTCTCTGTGTCCAGGTTTCTGCAGCTGGAGCTCAATGAAATGGAGGCCTTCGTGAACCAAAACAAATCCAAGCCCATCAAGCGGCAGGTAACACTCTTCTCTTGGTTTTTTTAAATTGGCCTGTAAAAAATTTTATTTTTTAAAGAGACTATGTACTTGGTGGTACATGTACCCAAGCTGTTTCACTTTAGTTTCCCTTGCAGCTATACCATGTGTATATGGTCAAAAGCTGCTGTACCTTGTGCATCTCCTTAATGGTCACAACCCCTGCCCCTTCCCCAGTAATGCTGAGCATGGAACTCAGGGCCTTGCCATGCTAAGTAAACACCACACCACTGAGCTACACCCTCAACCAGTGATAGCTTTTAACACGTGGAAAACCATGCACACACTTGTAGTTAGTACTCAGCAGGCTGAGGCAGGAGACCTAAACCCAGAAGTTCAAGATCAGCTGGGCAACATGAGAAGACCTCATATCTTTAAAAAAAATCTATATATGTATATACAGTGATAAATCTGTGTAGCTGTATAACATTATCTAACTTGACATGAGTTCGAGGTCAGCCTGGAATATACAACAAGACCCTGTCTCAAAAAAGAAAAAGGGTAGAAGTATTAGGTTTTTATACAGAAATTTTGGAAAATAGATACAAGTATAAAGGAGAAATAGAAGTGACTATAATTTCATTCCCCAAAGAGATCTACTCTTTTTGGTACTTTTTTTTTTTGGGGGGGGGTACCAGGAATTGAACTCACTACCTTGTATTTGCCGGCAGGCACTTAGGCCTCTGAGCTAAGCCCCCAGCCCTTTTTGGTACATTTTCTTCCCAAATTTTTGTGGCTTTATTGACCGCATTGATGAGCTCCCATGTTTCCTGATCTGGTGTCACCAACCCTTAGTGCAGAGACAGGCTCCCAGAGCTGCGCCGCCATAGGGTAGCAAACCCATGTTGAGGTCCCCATAGCTGAACATACTGACTGACACGTGCTGCTGGCTTCTGTAAAACTGTCCTGAAAAGTACCGCTCCTTCCTGCTGGTCAGCAGCTCAGAGCTGTAGTTGTCAGTATCTTTGAGTACCTTTCAGACCAAGAAGTGAATTAATTACTGAGCTGGGGAGATGGGGACAGTCTTCCCAAGCAAGTGTCAATCTGGGAGCCATTAACATCTGTTTACATTCCTGTGATGTTTCTCCTGACAGTAGGTGCTGAGAATGATTCCTCTTTTTCAAAAAGTTTTAATGATGATTACACAATGGACACCGAATTTATCCAAAGAAAAATATTTGGGTTCTACTCATATGCATAGAAGTTCCTTTGAAAGGGAGCATGTTGAGTCGGGCATGGTGGCTCAGGCCTGTAATCCTAGCACTCAGGAGGCTGAGGCAGGAGGATCATTGCGAGTTCGAGACCAGCCTGGGCTACAAAATGAGCTCAAGGCCAGCCTGAACTGCATAGAGAGACCCTTTCTCAAAAAGGTGGGGGGCATGTTTTTGTTGTAACTGTTTGTTGTCCTGTTAAAAGGAAAATAGAGAAATAAAAAAAGGAAAAAAAAGAAAAGTAAAAAGGAACATGTTACCACTGTAGAAATTCTAGAAAAGCACCATGATTTCATCCTGAGATAACCAGTGTTTGAAGGTTTGGCATTCCAGCATGATTGTATGCTTATCTATTTTTTTTTTTTAATCAGTACCGGGGATCGAACTCATGACTGTCTGCTTGCAAGGCAGGCACTTATACCACTGAGCTAAATCCCCAGCCCATGTTTATCTATTTTTAAAACTGGGGTTGCCCTAACATGACTTTTTACCCTACTTTTCTCTCCCATGAGAACCATTTTTCATTGAAAAATTTTTTTAATGGCGGTATTGTTTTGGTAATCTGAATAGTTCATAAGTGACTTTAACAGTGCTTTTTTGTTAGGAAGTTAAGATTCGTTGCAATAAATAGCTTTGCAGCCAGGTATTTGTCTCATTTCTGATGCCTCCTCCTTGGCCCTGTTTCTTCCCTCCTATGGCATAGAGGGAGGCCTGGGGGGTGGGGAAGTTCCCTGTGTGACTCTCAATGCTTTCCATAGACAGTCATCACCACCATGATCACCTTGAAGAAGAACCTGGCTGATGAAGATGCCATTTCCTGTCTTGTGCTAGGCACTGAGAATAAGAAACTCCTGATTATCGACCCTGAGGCCTTCACCGTTTTGGCCGAGGTCAGTGTTGGCTCCAGCCCTGGGCACGCCCAAGGCCCAGGCTGCATTCCCTCCCCATGTTCCTGGTGTATTCCAAGTAGGACACATACATGCTAGAAAAATTAGAAACTATAGTTAAACGAAAAGAGAAAGATACAACATCCAAAAATCCCACCACTTTGCATGCCTATAATTCCCAGCACTCAGGAGGCTGAGGCAGGAGGATTACTGTGAGTTTGAGGTCAGCCTGGGCTGCAAAGTGAGTTCATGAACTGCATAGTGAAACCTTGTCTCAAAAAAAGACAAAAATCCCAACTGTTAAAATTTTGGCATATGTGGGGCTGGGGATTTAGCTCAATGGCATAAGTGCCTGCCTTGCAAGTGTGTGGTCATGAGTTCGATCCCTGTTACCGATAAAAAAGAAAAAGACAAAAAAAAAAAAAAGAAAGAAAAAAGAAAATTTTGGCATATGTCCTTCTGGACATTTTCATATATGGACATAGTCATATGACTAGATTACACATATGTACTATATATCATAAAAACAGGGTCATGGTACAGGTTCATGTAACTTGTAGTTTTCACATTGGGGTATATCAGAGTCTTTTCATGTCAATAAAACAACATCAACCTTTTTAAAGGCTATTAGATCCATTATGTAGATGAACCATAATTTATTTACTGTACCATCTACTGTGCAAACTGTTTTCACTTGGTCACTGTTATTGACAGCACTGCAGTAGATTTGCTTGACCAGAGGTCTTGTGTGTGCGTGTTTAAAGCACCTCCTTCTAGTGTGTTCCTAGAAGCAGCAGTTTAGCCAGAGGATAAAACAAAAATGCTTTTGCCGCATGGTGCTGAATTTCCCTCCAGAAAGTTGTGTGTTTCCCCAGTGACCAGCAGGGAAAGAATGAGGGGATTGAGACTCCAGATGAGAAACTAACTTGGAGGGGCTCCTCAAGGGAGGGAGACAAGATGTTTGAGCCTTTTCTCTGCAGATGGACATTCCCAGCGTCCCCGTCTTCCTGGAAGCATCTGGCCAGTTCGATGTGGGGTTCCAGCTTGCTGCTGCTTGCCGCAATGGGAACATCTATATTCTGAAAAGGTAACCACAGCCACGTTCTCTGGGCCAGGAGCGGCATCTCAGAAATCGGGTGGCTTCAGAGGCCTGCGAACCAGACAGGGGGTTTGAGGCTGGGATTTAGGAATGGAGAGAGCTGAGAATTTCACTTAAAGTAGGCTGAGCCTGTGAGGAAGGGATGTCAGGAGGCCTGCGAAATGAAGGCTGACTCTACAATATGTGGTCAGAAGCTGGAGAAAGTAGAAATGGTCTCTTGGGTGTGTTATATAACTTTTCTTTTTTTGTCTTTTTCGTTTTTATCGGTACCAGGGATCAAACTCACGACTGCCTGCTTGCAAAGCAGGTGCTTATGCCGCTGAGCTAAATCCCCAGCCCCATAACTTTGTAGTAGTATATGAGGCACTTCCTTATGCAGTAATTTTATATTTCATACATTTTTTTGTGGTGCTGGGGATTAAACCTCATACATTTTTTTGTTTTGTTTTTGAGACATGCCTCAACATGCAGTTCAGGCTGGCCTTGGACTCACTATGTAGCCCAGGCTGGCCTCAAACTTACAGTGATCCTCCTGCCTTAGCCTACCAAGTGCTGCGATTATAGGCATACACCCCCATGCTCGGCCATACATTTTTTTTTTTTTTTTTGGTACTGGGGATCGAACTCATGACCTCACGCTTGCCAGGCAGGCACTTATGCTGCTGAGCTAAATCCCCAGCCCTGGCCATATATTTTTAATTCAAGAAATATTTATTAAAATCACCTGCCTGTAATCCCAGGATTTTGAAGGATGAAGCAAGAGGACTGTGCATTTGAGGCCAGCCTGGACTACATAGCAAAATAGAAAAGTAAGCCAAAATACTTTATTGAACACCTACTATACATTGAGCACTGAGTACTGAGGCTATATTGATGCACAAAATATTATAGATATGGTCTCTGCTCTCAATGATGAAGACAGATTTTTGGGTGGGGGAGGTGCCGGGTTGTGTACATGCTAGCAAGCACTCTACCACTGAACTATACCCCCAGCCCCAGAGGTCACATACTAAGTCAACAGTCCAAGGTACTACAGATTGGTTCAGTACTACGGCTTAAAGAGATTAGGGAGTCAGTTGTTCAGAGAGTTGGGGAAGAATGTTGTAGGCAAATTCAAAGTGGGAAAGACCTGAGTGTGTGCAACCCATGCCTGGTGGGCAGAGAGGAGGGTAGGAAGAGATGAAGTGGAGACCAGGGTTGACTCTTGCAGAAACTGGTAGTGCTGCCAGACTGTGTCCAAGGAAGTGCCCCACAAAAGGAGACGGAAACCTCAGACAGAGAAGGTTTGCCAGGTTCTATCATACAAAAAAGGCGTAAGAGTTAAGTGGAATTAAAGAAGTACAGAGTCAGAAGGAAGTATAGTTGTGGTGCATGCTGATAATCCTAGTACTCTAGGAGGCTGAGGCAGGAAAATCATGAGTTTGGGAGATTGTATCACAATACAAAATATTTAAAAAAGGGCTGGTGATGCAACTTAGTGTGGAGGCCCTGAGTGTTCAGTACCGCCGAAAAGTGGGTCGGGACCTCTAAGGAGGTCAGGAAAATCAGGGTCTGGGACTGGGTATAAGTTTACATGTTCTGGGGTGGAAATCTATGGAGTCTGGGAATCTGTAGAAAGCTCAGGCTCATTTTACAAGTGAAAGGCAAGGAAGGGCATGTTTTTAGGCTGATAATATATTTAAGACTTTAGGATTTAAGAGTAGCCTAGAAAGGAAAGAAAGTTGTCACATTGGGTAACTTTGGTTGTGCCCTGAAACTAGAGCTTTCTTTAAAGTACAGTTTTAAAATTTTAATTTTTCAATGGATGTAGTAGCTCATGCCTGTAGTCCCAGCACTCTGGAGGCTGAGGCAGGAGGATTACTATAAATTTGAGCCCAGAGTGGGCTACAAAGTGAGTTCAAGACCAGCCTGAACTGCATAGTGAGACCCTGTCTCAAAAAAAAAAGGAAAAAAAGAATCCCACTTTCCCCTCTATCCTTTTTTCTTCCATCCTACCCCAGTGGGACACTGCAGAGATTTTGTCCATAATGCAGTGAAAAACTATTATAGTGTTGTAATCATAGTCACGGGTCATTTAGTGTTTATTTGTTTGTTTTCATAGTACAGGGGTTGAACCCAGGGCCTTCACACTGAGTTTTGGCCCCAGCCCTTTTTTAGAATTTTTAATTTTGAAACAAGATCTCACTAAACTGCTAAATTTCTCAAGCTAGGCTCAAAATTTTTGATCCTCTGGACTCAGCCTTCCAAAGTGCTGGGGTTGTGGATATGCATCATCTTCCCTGGATTTATTTACATTTTTAAAAATCTGGCTGGGTAGAGATTGGTATGAACCTGTCATCCCAGCAACTTAGAAGGCTGAGGCAGGGGAGTTGCTTGAGCCCTGTGAGTTTAAGACCAGCCTGAGCAACACAGATATTCTCTCTCAGGGTAAAAGAAAAAATTACTGTGCTGGGTTGAGAGTGATGGGAATGAGACCCAAAGACCAGTGAGAGGTCTCACAGTCATCAGATAGACCATGATATTGTTCCAGCCTTGATGAGGTTAGAAGGCAGAAGGCAGGAATTACCCCCACTTTCTGGATAAGGGAAACTAAGATTGAGAAGGTAGGAACTGAAAACCGTGCATCTACTAGCTGCTCTTCATCCTTTTCTGGTAAACTAGAAAACTGCTTCTGTCCATTAGCACTGACTAGTTAAGATGAGCTGAGAACTCTGTTGGATGCCAGGTTATCATATGCATCCCTGTAGCAGGGGCAGAAGGGGACAGAGTCGGAAAGCACACTTGATAACTGTCCAGGGTCACACATCTGCTAAGTGGTGGAGATAGAAACAATCCCAGGTCACCTGACTTGGACCTGGGCTCCTCCATCCAGGTTAGTCTGGGCCTTAGAAGGAGGATCATCAGCTGGGGCAGGGGCCAAGGGCTCTCTGGGGGCACAGTGGGGTGTCTTTGTTCCAGAGACTCCAAGCACCCTAAATATAGCATCGAGCTGAACGCCCAGCCTGTGGGGCTTGTCCGGATACACAAGATCCTGGTGGTGGGCAGCACCCAAGACAGCCTGCACGGCTTCACACATAAGGTATGACCTCCTCTTCCCTGCAGCTCCAGCCCACGCTTGTTCCCATGCTAAGCCCTGAGCCCCTGCAGACCCTGGCTGCTCCCCCTCCAGGGCAAGAAGTTATGGACAGTGCAGATGCCCGCAACCATCCTGACCATGAACCTCCTGGAACAGCATTCCCGCAGCCTGCAGGCTGTCATGGTCGCCCTGGCCAATCAAGAGGTTCGCATTTACCGTGACAAGGCCCTGCTCAACGTCATTCGCACCCCGGTGAGTCCCACCTCTGGCATCTCCCACTGACTCCTCCTTGCCCCAATCCTTCCCTGGGCTGCTTCGCCGCCTCTGCCTACCTCACTTGGGTGGGTTGCAAAACATCATATGTTTAAGTCACCATACTGGGGAGAAGGCAGAATAGTGACTAAACCATTGTTTTCAAAGACATAGCCTAACGTGCCAGCCAGCGACAGCAGATTAACACACAAGGCAAAGTGAAGCAAAGCAAAGCACTGGGAAAGCACAGAGGGAGCAGCAACTGGGAGAAAAGGGGCGAGAGATAATGAGGGTGGAACTCCTGGCACACTTCCCAGAGCAAGTGACAACACAACTTGGAACATCCGTTGGCCAGGAAGACAGATGGAGGATGAACATTCTGGACAGGGAACAGCATGGACAAAAGCTGAGAGGCGTGGAGGTTCTTGATGGAAGAATCCAGATAGCTTGCTGGGTTTGGGTCAGAGGTTTCCTAACTCTTAACTTATGAGTCATTTTATCAATGTAGTGGATCATAACCAACAACATTTAGAAAACCAGGGCAGATATTTTAGAATCCATCACATGCGAAGCAGTTCCATGAGTGTGTAACTGTCCTGGGTCACAACATAAAAATCTCAAAGCAACTGCTTGGAGCCTTCAGGTGCTGGGAGGGCAGGTAAGGCTGAGAGAAGTAAAAAGGAGGAAACACAGATGGGCCTCAAATGTCCTGACACAAGGTGGGACCCACTGGGGTTTTGTGCCTTTGAAGAGCAGCAGAGGCACACTGCAAAGGACAGACTGGGAGGGAAGACTGTGCGGATGACTGACGAGCAGGTGATCCTAAAAGTGAGGGCTGGTGGTGTTTAGTGTGGAACTATGGCTGTGGCGTCGAGGTGGGAGGGGAGATGGGAAATAAGGGAGACTGTTTCCAAAGCAACACGGTGAGAAATACAGGAAGTGTTTTCAAGGAAACATGGCCCTAGGCCTTTCTTCACAGCGTACCCATTGTATCTGGTAGCTGGGGCTCCATCTTGCTTTCCTCTCCAAGTATTTTGCCCAGCTGAAGGGCTAGGGATATGGCTTAGTGGCACAAGTGCCTGCCTGGCAAGTAGGAGGTTGTGAGTTCAATCCCTGGTACCAAAAAAAAAGTAATAATATTTTGCCCAGCTAAACTCTGCCATCTCCATCTAGGACACTGTGACCAGCCTTTGCTTTGGCCGCTATGGGCGGGAGGACAACACCCTCATCATGATTACTCGAGGTGAGGGGACTCAGGGCATGGCAAGGGCACAGGAGTTGGAGAGAAGGTTCAGACCTGATTATGAGGAAAGAAGATGAAATGGAAGCGGAGCTCGGGTGGACCTGGGTGGAAAGCTAGGCCTGCGGACATTGCTCCTGTCTGGCAACTGTCAGGACAACTCCTCAACAGTTTGATGTGGCTGCCAGTGGCCAGCCCTGGGCTGGGTAGTGTCTCCCTTATTCACCCCAATATCCTAGCACCTGCCACTGCGCCAGGAACCTCAAAGCACTGAATCAGTAGCTGCTAAATGAATGAATGAACTAATGAGAGGAAATGATTGAGACACTTCATTCCTTTGAGAAACTGAGTTCCTCACAGAAAGACGGACACATATAGAAACTGAGAAACATTGAGAAAGGCAGTGTCGGCTAAAACCAGGGATGATAACTGTTTGTCCACTTCCCCAGGCGGTGGCCTGATCATCAAGATCCTGAAGCGTACAGCAGTGTTTGTAGAGGGCACAGGTGAGGTGGGTCCCCCACCAGCCCAAGCCATGAAACTCAACGTGCCCAGAAAGACGCGGCTCTATGTGGATCAGACACTGCGAGAACGGGAGGCTGGCACGGGTGAGACTCAGTTCCTTCTCTTCCTCCTCCTCCTTTGCTACCAGGGTGCCCTGGGTGGTAGGAGACCTTGGCCAACTAGGCAACTCTTATGTCTCTAGAAATCCAGGGACAGTGTTGGAGATACACCTGCCTTGATAACTGGCGGGGGCTCTTAAGAGTCCTTAGAATTCAGAGAGGTGGAGAGGGCTGGGGATTTAGCTCAGCAGCACAAGCGCCTGCCTGGCAAGTGTGAGGTTGTGAGTTTGATCCCCAATACCGAAAAAAGAAAAAGAAATTCAGAGAGGCAGCAGTCATTTCCCAAGGCAGGGATCTGCCTGAGAAAATTAGAAATTGACCGAGATTTCTCCTCTTGTCCTGATCATGTTTTTTCATTCATTCACTCATTCATGCTCTGCAATTGTGCCCAGTGCCTTGAATTAGGCTACTCTCTGCCTTGGGAGCTTAGTCCACGTGGCCAGCTTAATGTCATACAACAAGTATAGAAGGAGATCGTACCAAGGGCCACTCGGGCACACGAGCAGGAGTAAGGAATTTCACTCGAGAAGCAAAGACTTCAGAGAGAGGTGACATTGATTTCCACCAAAAGATGATGACAAGTCTACCTGAGAGCGGGAGGGGAAGGGCAGTTTAGGCAGAGGCTGAAGTAGAGGCACACGTAGCTATAGGTACAGTGCCAAGGGGTGAGTGGTCCACGGGGCTGAGAAGGTAGATCAGAGCCTGCTAACAAAGGCCTGAAATAGAAAACTCAGTGCAGATACGTTGTTTAGGAGGTGGGGCTGGACAGAGATTTTAAGGTGAAAAATACAGTAACTCAGGCAGCTGAGTTGTTATTAAAAGGGATCTTGGTCTCAGTTTAAAGAACAAATAAAACAAGGCAGAGAAGGGAGCAGGATTTTATAGTAAAACAACGGATAGTGCCAGAAAATTAAGCTGGGGATGCAGCTCAGTGGTAGAGTGTTTGCCCAGCATGTGTGAGACCCTAGCATCCATCACCAGAACCAAAAACAAAAAAGTAGGAAGTTCTGTAAGGTGACCAGATACAAACTATTAAAAAATCATAAGATTTTCTGCAGTACAGAAAATATCCAGTTAGCAAATATAATGGGAAAATACTCCAGTCACAATAGCAGAGAAATCCCTAGAAATAAATGTAACCAGAAAATATACAAAGTTGGGTATTTTTTTGTTTTTTCTTTTGGTACCGGGGATCTAACTCATGACCTCACGCTTGCTAGGCAGGCGCTTATGCCACTGAGCTAAATCCTCTGCCCCAATTTTTTTTTTTTTTTTGGTCAAAGTTTTATAAATAAAATTATAAAAGACCACCTACATGTCTGAAGAGAGAGTCTTATCAAGTCTCATGGTGGGATGATCTAATGTGAGTTATAGAAAGAAGCCTGGGGGCTGGGGGTTTAGCTCAGCGGCATAAGCACCTGCCTTGCAAGCAGGCGGTCGTGAGTTCGATCCCTGGTACCGATAAAAAGGAAAAAAACAAAAAAACAAAAAGAAAAAAAAAAAATAGAAAGAAGCCTGATGGGGTTTTGTAAGGATTCGATCAGTTGATTCTAGAATAAATATAAGTCAGACATGGAGTGTGCCCTTATAATTGCAGCATTCAGGAGGCTGAGACTGGAGGATGGCAAAGTCTAGCCTAGCCTGAGTAATTTAGTGACTTTGTAAGTACAAAATAAAGGGTTAGGGGTGTAGCTTAGTGCAAAGGCCCTGAGTTCAGTTCTCATAACACACACACCCCTACAGACCAAGATGCTGGGTCTAGAGGGAGGGAAGGAATGATTTTCAGACTGCGGACATGGTGGGCTCTGGAGGCAGACTCGTGGGAGGCATCCACTCTTGGTAGTAGTTACCCATGAAGGGTGAGCTGAAATGATTCAAAGGGAGGGATGCAGAAGCAGAGGCGGGACAGGTAGGCTTCTGCAGTGTTACATGTGAGCTGCTACTGGACCTCCAGGTGGAGAGGATGAGGTAGTCAGAGGCAGCAGGCAGATGGTACCCACAAGCTGCTGGGGACACAGCGAACAGTACTGAATATGGCTTGGGTCAGCCCTGTGGCTGTGGGAATGGTAAGGTCCCTGCCCTCTGGAGCTGGTGCTTGTTCCTCTTTGGGGTGGTCGGAACCAGCACAGGGCCCAGGTTTATAGGGGAAGAAGATGCAGGATGGGAAGGGAACAGACACCAAGACTCCAGGGAACACCAGCCTACAGGGCCAGACAGGAGCCAAGGCCCTCTTGGTCCCCACATTCTCAGCCTCTGTGGGCCCTGCTGCCATCCCTTTCTCTCATACTCCTACTACAGCAGCCTGAGCAGGAGCACCCTTCCCTGCTGCGGCTTCTGCATCCGGCCTCAGCCTTTGGGTCCCCTCCTCAGGCATGCACCAGACCTTCCAGACAGACCTCTACCTGCTGCGGGTCCGGGCTGCCCGTGCCTATGTGCAGGCCCTCGAGTCCAGCCTGAGCCCCATGTCAGCCACAGCCCGGGAGCCCCTCAAGGTGCATGCTGTGGTGAGTGTCCCAGTGTGGGCTGTTGGGATCAGAGGGCAGAGGGCAGGGTGGGCAGCTGCCACCACCACAGTTACATCCCCAAAATCAGTGTCAAGCCAGCCAGGCTGTGTACCCCCCTTCTCACCCTCACACAGACCCAGGGAGCGAGTCCCGTGTCTCCTGTGGTTGCTGCTCTGATCTTTTCACCTTCCATGCCACCCTCTTCTACAACCAGCCACAGAGATGGACACACTGTCCAGGTCCCTGGTCTGCAGTGTGCCTCTGATAGACTCCAGATTTGGGGCAGAGAGCAGTCCCCATGGGACATTTTTTCCCAGGAGCTGGAAAGGATCCTCATGGCCATCAGAAGAAAGTTGTCCACTTTGGTAGCCACGGGTAGCCCAAGGTGTTAGGACTGCGTGGTACAAGAAGGGGCTCCCCTGGCCTGACCCCAGCATCCTGGCAGGAGGGAAGAGAAAGAGCCCACTTCTACCCAGACACGGGTGACTTCAAGGTCCACAGGGCCCCAGCCAGCTTTCAGTTGGTTCCTGGGTGTCTTTCATCTGCCTGGGGTTTTGACTGGCTCTTTCCCTCAAGAGAGTAGACAGAGAAGAAGAGGGTTAAAAAGCAACTCAAGCTGTGAGTGGGAAAAATGACATCCCTGAGGCCACCAGGATGAGAGCGGGAAGGAGACCAGGCCTTAGGGAGGGGGTGGAGGCAGCTGAGAGCTTACGGGAAGGAGTGGGCTGTGCCTCTGATCCACTGATGGAGTGGCCTCAGTCAAGGCCGTTCCTCTGCTGACCCCTGTACACCTTCTGGACTCCTGTGCACTATGAGAGGCAGAGGTGCCAAGAGTTAAAGCCTTCGAGGGCATGGATGGGGGACATTCATGAGGAAGCGGCAGACAGGGCTCCTGTGTTCAGCGCAGGGGCCACCAGATCTTACGAGGCTTCTCTACACTGCTCCGCAGGTGCAGGGCCTGGGTCCCACCTTTAAGCTCACACTACACCTGCAGAACACCTCGGCCGCCCGGCCTGTGCTGGGGCTGCTGGTCTGTTTCCTGTACGACGAGGCACTCTATGCCCTACCCCGGGCCTTCTTCAAGGTACTGGGCCAGCCTCACGGAGGCCTGGGGCAGACAAGCTGGGGTGGGAGCTGCTCATAGCCCCAGCAGGGTTGTAATGGGCTTTGAAGCTGGCCAACAAGCCAACTCTACCAGAAAGCAGGCTCAGCCAGTAAGTACCTGAAAGAAGCACTGGGCCCTGCCTCTGCTGCCCTTTTCCCAGCCATGGCCTTGGGAGAAGTCAAGAGTTCCAGATTTAACCACAGATGGGCCATACAGGCCTGGAATGTTCACTCACCCACCCGAACCAGCTCTTCCTGGAACCAGCTGGTCATCCTTGCCCACCTGAGGTTAGCTGAGGCCGTGGGCACTATCTGGGCACGAGGGCTAATTTTCTTCTCTGTCCCCAAATTTAGGTCCCATTGTTGGTACCAGGGCTCAGCTACCCTCTGGAGACGTTTGTGCAGAGTCTCAGTAGCAAGGGCACTTCAGACATTATCAGGGTAGGTCGCCTGTGGGTACTTCTTGGGAGACAAGTGGGACCCTGGGGTGGACAGCAAGGGCAGTGCGGACAAAGGCCTCATGGCTTGAGCAGCAGGGGTGGGTGTCTGCACAGTCCAAGCCAAAGCAGGATGCCAGTGGCCCATCACCAGGCCAGTGCAGACAGGTAGCCTGGCTTTGCAGGGAGCAAATGCAAGGGTGCCAAAGTGCATGCCCACTGCTGCCATGGGTGTCTCCTGAATAGGTGCTGGTTCTCCGAGAAGGCCAGAGTGCACCCCTGCTAAGTGCCCACATCAGCATGCCTGTGAGCGAAGGGCTGGTGGCCGCCTGAGCCTTGGGCCAGCGTTGAAGGACCTATGGAATTGAGCCTGCAAGACCCAGCCATTTCCACTGAGCTGCGCAGGTTCAAGGGCACCAGGATGCCAGACCCAGCTCCCTGCTCCTCTCCCAAGCAGCCCCTTGCTCACCTCCTCCACCCCTGGGCCTGTAGCAGCGGGTCAGTGAGTACCCAGGAGGACTCGCCAGGCACTGTGCCCACTGCTCTCCCCAGTTCCTTGATAAAGCACTCTAAGGTGGTCCAGGTGAGACCAGCTTCCTTCCATGTCCCTTAGACACACTGCTCATCTACTGCATACCAAGGCCAAGATGGACGATGGCCTGGGGAAATTAGAGGACTTCCTGAGTGAGACTGAGCCCCCCACCCCCACTGAGGTTCTAGAGGCCCACCTGCTGTTAGCTCAGCCTACAGGTAAAGCACGAACCCTGGTTACCCTCCTGTGTTGAGCCAGAGGCTCCTCTTTCCACTCAGCAGCCCAAGAAACGGTCACCTCCCCGTGAGGAATTTCCAAAGTCTCAGGCTTAACCACCATCTCAGGCTTCTGAGGCCCCATAAAAGTAGTTATGGGAAGAAGTGGCCCAGGAAGGCCATGGAGGGAGCTAGTGGCCCCAGCCCCAGAGGTTACCCAGCTGTGTTCATGACCTGATGCTCAGTCCCTGAGAGCGTTCCTGGAAAGGAAGTCCAAGCCAGACTTAGGGATGGGGCCAGTGGTACTGGGAGAAGTATTTCTGGGTCCCAGAAGGTGGCACAAGAGATAGAGACCCAAAAATATCCTTCAGGATGCTCTTCTGTGTCCTGGATCCCAAATGAGTCCTGTCGGCAGAAAGTGCCCTAGATGGCAGCCAGAGTATGAGGGCTTTGGATGGAAAGGCATCGAGTTAAGCTGAAGCCAGAGTATGAGGGCTTTGGATGGGGCATCGAGTTAAGCTGAAGACTGGTCAAAGGCACATATTTAGAATTAGAGATCCTCAGTCCTGGCCCCTGCACCTGGTGCCTCCTGGGTCCCTGGCCACTGGGGAGCCAGGATCTCTGCTCCCTGGAGACCTCCACCTTTCCCAGGATGACCAGGTGTGCCTTGGAGTATGGCACACAGCTTAGGCTTGCAGCAGGTAACAACATCCTTCTGGGGTTCAGTCTCCCCTCATGTAAACTAAGGCAGTCTGGCCAGATGGTTTCTAAACTGCATTCAGCTCTGATAACCTCCTGAGCTCAGCAGATCCTCTGAAGAAATGAGAAATTAACCCAGAAAGGTGATACTTGGCAGGAATAACTGCACACCTTTTGCCCTCAAGAAGGGCCCAAGACACAGGGACCAGGATGACACAGCCCACCCCTTGACCCTCCTGAGGAAGGCATCCAGAGCTAAGTTCAGCGAGGCATGGGAATGCCAGGCATGGTGCACACACCTTAGACCCAGCTGCTTTGGAGACTGAAGTGTTTTGAGTCCAGGAGTTAAAAAGAACGACCTGGCAATTTAGCAAGACCCTAGCTCAGAAGGCAAACTGCTGGGCATGCTGGTGCACTCTTGTTTTCCAGCTATGGGGGAAGCTGAGGCAAGAGGATCACGGGTTCAAACAAGTTCAAGTCAGCCTGAGCAACTAGGTGAGTCTGTGTCTCAGTGTAAAAATTTTCAAAAGGGGCCTGGGCATGTAACCCAGGGATATAACCCACTGCATACCACTTGAGAGGCCCTGGATTCAATGCGCAGCACTGGAAACAGAGGCAGCAGATCTAGACCAAAGAGAGCCTGCGTCTTTCCTGCCTACACTGCCCAGCCACTTACAGACACGGGCCACCCAGGTGAGGGTGGCAGAGAGTTTCTGTGTCCACTAAGGCACAACTGGAACAAGCAGAGGTAGAACCTGCAACTGAAAGGTGTGGAGCAGAAGGAGGGGAGGAAAATCACTGCCAGAGATCTCAGCTTCACGGGCAGAAGTCACCTTGTCACTGGAACTGGTGGCAGTGGCGGCAGGTTGGGGGACAGATTACCTTATAATCTATTTCACCTCAGTCAAGCTATGAACTGTGTGAACTCAACAGAAAGGTCTGATCCAGGGAGCTCTTCCTGGCTATTCATGATGATGGAAAGGGGAGACCTAGCGGGCACTGGACAGGAGTGTATATATTGTTACACCTGTTCATGTAGGAGCTGTGCTTCACAGACGGGTACATAGAATAATATCGGCATGTGACAATGCAGGATCCTTGGGAACACCGGGAAATCATGCACATTAAAATGGAAAGAGTTGGTGTGGCTTTTTTTTGTTTTTTTTAGTAATTTTAACAAGCACCTACTTGGTAAGGCGGAATTAGTTTATAACAGCCAGGCTTTGCTCATTCCCTTGGATGGCTCACATGCAACAAGCACTTCCAGTTCTTGTAGCTATTTATAAACTAATACGGATATACTGTTTTTCTTATTTATGAATCTTAGATATCTATTGACAGGGATTATAATAGATAAGGCTTTATTTCTTGAAATGCCATCCATCCCTAGTAGATCACTGGTCACAGTTTCAATTAATATATATACATGTGTATATTACTATGTGAAATACATACATACATATACATATATTACTGTGACAGTTATCCAGTGCAAAGCCAAGAATTAGGCTGAAATAAAATAAACTTTTTTGAATTTTTAATTTTTTATTTTAAAGATGGAAAAACAAAACAAAAAATACAAGAAACAAAGATAAACAACAAAAACCCAAAACAATAATATAGGCTTTCAAAACAAAGTGGTAGGAACTTAACAAAGGTTGTTATTTTGCATACTTATACTCAGATTACCAGATACAGATGTGCAGAATTGACCTAATTCTATAAATGTTAACTTTTGTTCCAAGAACTAATAGAATTAGTAGCACAATCATCTTAGCTATCTTAGGTGTATATATACAAATTTATATCTTTTTTCTTTTCCCTTCTTTTCTCCTTTTCCCTATCTGAGTTATTTTTCCCCTTTGAAGTTTTTTCCCCTTTCACAATATTTATTAAAGATTTTGGATTTTTTTTTTTTTTTTTTTTTGTCTTTTTCCTTTTTATCGGTACCGGGGATCAAACTCATGACTGCCTGCTTGCAAGGCAGGCACTTATGCCGCTGAGCTAAATCCCCAGCCCCTTGATTTTGGATCTTATTTACTCTTTCAGTTTCTTACACCAGGGAGACAATATGGTATTTACACATGTGAAACTTTTAAATTTTTCATGAAGTTAATACTTTTTTTTTATTTCACTTAGGTTGTTTTTCTTTGTTTTGGTTTTGTTTTTGTTTTTTGAGTTAGGGTCTTGCTGTGCAATTCAGGCTGGCCTTGAACTTGCTTATGTAGCCCTGGCTGGTCTCAAATTCACAGTGATGCTCCTGCCTCAGCCTCCTGAGTGCTGGGACTATAGGAAGGTGCCACCATGCCCAACCATCACTTAGTTTTTTAACACACCAGTTGTTGATCCTTTCTCTTCCCGTCTGACAGTTGCCCCTCACACACACACACATTTCTCTCCATCCTGTTATTTCTCTCCATCCTGTTTCCTTGAGAGCTGTTTGTTCTCCAGAGTTAATTGCCTATCTCCATGTGTAGATCCTTGAACCCTGGATTCCAGGTCACTTTAGTTCAGCCTTGTCTGGTGAAACATACCCACCAAGCCTTTAAAAGGTGGCTAAGAGGTAAACATTGGATGGCACTGCTGGTCTGACTGTTTCTTTAATTCTTCAAATACATCTGGTACTTTGGATCATACAATTTGCAGTTGAAAATCATTTTGCAGGCAGTTCTCTGTCTTTTAAGTTCTGTATCCTGCTACTTCCAGTTGTCTTTCTTCTCTTAGAAGTACTGAATGTTGTAACATGCATGACTTTTTGTCATTATTTCTTGCACAGCAGAGATAGATGTGCATCCTTATGACTCGGGAAATTGTACCGCGATTGCTCATTGGATCGTGTCATCCTCAATTTTCTCTGTTCTCTGGAACCCCAGTTAGGCCTAGCGTCTGATAAAAGGCGATTTATCCCAGAGAGAGGCCTCACTGATCCTGATTTTCTCCTCTCATGTTTTGGTTCAGTTTTTTTGGTTCTACTTTTCTTTTTTCTTAAAAAACAGGGTTTCACTATGTAGCCTAGGCTGGCCTTAAACTTGCAGTGATCCTCCTCCTGCCTCAGCCTCCTGCATGCTGGGATTACAGGCTACAGGCATGTACCACCATATCTGGCTTGTCAACTTTTCTAGACTTTTATTTGGTACCAGGGATCAAACTCATGACTGTGCAAGCTTGCCAGGCAAGTGCTTATGCACTGAGCTAAATCCCCAGCCTATTTTCTAGACTTTTAAATTTCTGTTATATCTCAATTTTTTGGTTCTTGGTTCTGTCTTAAGGTATCTTTTCAAAACTGGACTTTCTTTTCTTAATTGAGATTAGCTTCTTATTTTACCACATAATTTTTTAATTTACCAGTGTTTTCCCTGAGTTTCAATGTTTTGTTTTCTAAGGTATTTTTCCTGTTACTCCAAAAGGTGGGTAACTGAGGACCATAAAGAGTTCACATGCTCAGTGTAAACTCGTAATAAACCACTCTCACCATTATCCCTCCAGAATCAGCAAGGGAAACTCCATGCTGGGTAAAAAGGGGTGGGAAGACTTCCTCTGCGAGTCTGGTGCTGGAGTCAAACCCAGGGCCTCGGGTATGTTCTACTGTTGAATATATCCCTGGCCCATTCTCAAGAAGTTTTAACCACAAATCAGCCACCAAGTAAGTTTGCATCCTGAATCAACAATGCCTGGCTTATCCTAAAAACCCATAACTGCACATGGGGAGTGACAGTCAACTAACACATTTCCTCTCTGTAGGAACTAAACTATTTTTAACTAAAAAAAGATTTTTAAAGAAAATTTCTTTATTTCATTCTTACAAATTAATCCAGATAGATTTTTTAACGTAATAGGTATCACAGTATATTTTGTTGTCTTTATAATAATTGTTCTTTCAATTATGTATATCAAAATAAAATGAAATACAGAACATTATAGAACTTATCAAAACAGAATATTGAATAGAGCAGTACCATTAATCAGAATAAAGCAAAACAGTAATAAAAATATTTGCCTTCAAAGAGATGGTAGAAGGAAATCCCCCTTATTTGCTATGGTCAACCTCCCAAGAGATGCTCAGATTTCTGGTTCCCATTTGCTAATGGGGGGACGGGAAGGAGGGCAGGGGAAGTGAGATGTTTGACTCTAGGCCTTACACCAGTAGGTTCACTATTGCTTAGCAGGGAGGCAGGCTGGTTGCTTGGTTTCCCAGCATCCTAAGTTCCAACACGGTGTGGATCTCAGAAGACACTGGTAATCCAGATTTTTAAATCAATAAAGGAAAATAAAATGTTAGAAATATAACCACCATAAAATGAACTACATTAAAAGAGGTCAAATGTTTCAATTAGAAGAAAAGGATAATATTATCTAGATTTTTTTTAAAAATTCGTTAGGCCAGGTGTTTAGTTCAGTGGCACAAGTGCCTGCCTGGCAAGCACAAGGTCATCAGTTTGATCCCCAGTATCCAAAAAAAAAAAAAAAAAATTCATGTCTAGCTAGGTGTGGTGTGCATGCATGTCATCCCAGCACTCAGAAGGATGAGGCAGAGGGTCAGGTTCTAGGCCAGCCTGAACCACATAGCGGTGTTTCCCCACACACACACACACTGCTGCCAAAAAAAACCAACTAAGGTATCTTTTTTTCCATCCTGGGGATTGAACCTTTGGCCTTAGTTATGCTAAGCAAGTGCTCTACTATTAAGCTACATCTCCAGTCTTTTTAATTTTGTTTTAAGATGGTGTCATTAAAAAGTTTCCAGGCTAAGCCAGGCATGGTAGCGCACACCTGTAATCCCAGCACTTAAGAGGCTGAGGCAGGAGGATCGTTGCCAATTCGAGACCAACTTGGCTACAAAATGAGCTCAAAGCAGCCTGAACTACATAATGAGATGTCTCAAAAAAACAAAAAAGCTTCTTCCCAGGCTGGTGTCAAACTAGTGATCCTCCAGACTGAGCCTCCCAAGTAAGTGGCTTACAGGCATGGGATACCTTACTCAGCAGGGCTGTTGTTAAGAGACAAAGATGGAAAGTGAACAGACAGACTAGGCATAGTGGTACACACTTTGCAATCCCAGGACTCAGTAAGCTGAGACAGGAGGATGACAGTGAGTTCAAGGCCAGCCTGGAATATACAGCTAGATGCTGTAAAAAAAGAAAATAGACAACATATTTGGAATAGAAGAAAATTTGCTCAGTTTAATAAGTAACATCTACTAGAACAAAAACCCATAATGAACATATTAAAGTTGTTCCTTGTCGATGTCGCTCCCGGCCGGCAGGAAGGACACACGACAAAGTCTGGCAGTGGACAACCTTTTCTTTTATTTTCTCTCTGTACAGCCTGCCCTGGGATCGCTCCCAGCCGAAGCCTCCTCTGGTCCGCTCCCCGCGGCTCCTTCCGTGCTTCGCTCCGAAGCCTCTACCGGTCCGCTCTCCGCGGCTCCTTCCGGGCTTCGCTCCGAAGCCTCTACCGGTCCGCTCTCCGCGGCTCCTTCCGGGCTTCTACTTCCCCCCAGGGGTGGCACCAGTATATATACGGATACAGTGTCCAATCATGTTAAAGTAAGCAAGGCAAGCTGATTGGCTAACATATTATTGAGCGGGTTGTTTACGCGGTAAGCAGGAAACTAACGTGCTCGATGGGAGGGGTAATCTAACTCAGGCTTTACTCTTTACCACAGGCCGCATGATCGCTATATGCGGCGGCTCGGCAATGTGGTGGCTCCCAACAGTTCCTCTAAAGTCAGAGACAAGAATGGACCCTACCAGTACTCCACCTATAGTGACCTCACCCATACAGAAGGGCAAGAGTAGAAACATAAAAATTAAACAGGATAAATAAAACCATAAGTAATCTGTTTGTAAATCCAGATGTAAATGATAATGTTTTAAATGTGCTGGACACTTAAGTCATATATAAAGGTGTTAAAATATCAAATATTCAGGGCAGCATGGTCTTTGTAAGCAAAGGGATAGCTTTATTGAGAATATTCAATGCAGAGATACAGCATGTTCATGAACTGGAAGATTCAGTGTCACAGATGCTGATGTTCCCCAAACTCATCTGTGCATTCGATATGGTTGCATTTGAAGAGGTTTTTACTGGGGGAATTGGACAAGCTGATTCTGAAATGTATACTGAAGAGCAAGGGCTCTCAGTGGGTGATTCCCAAAGGTCACAGGTATATAAATGACCAGTGGAACAAAGCAGAAAAATGAAATGTATATCCAGTAGATCACTGGAGAACAGGGAAAATGAACTCCCAGCAGTTTCGTGGAATAATTTGGATATATTTCAGAAACGTAACAGTAAGTAAAAACAAAAAAAAAGTCATAGAAGAATAAACTCTATGATTCCACTTACGTAAAATTCAAAGACAAGCAAAACCATACAAACATAACAAAACTGTAAAGCAAAGCAAGGGAACGATTAAGACAGGACAGTGTTCCCTGCCAGAGAAGACTTAGAGGAAATGATGGTTTCCTCTGTGTGTGTGCGTGGAGGGGTTATAAATATTCTCTTTCATCTCTTCACCATTAAGTAAAAAACATGAAAATAAGATATGTGGAGGGCAGGGGATGATGCAGGAAGGATACAGCACACATAGGGCGAGGCACACCAAGTTCCTAACATCTTTTTGAAAAATAGCAATAGCACATGCTGAGAAGGAGACAGTCACCTCTGTGGCCTGGGCAGAGCCTGGCAGAGGGTGGGCTCCCCTAGGCATCCTGGGGAGTCAAGGCTATTATTTTACAGGAGAGCCCCAGCATTATCTGTGGTCTTTCACTTCACCTCAGTTTGGATCCCCACATTCCCACATTCTCCAGTCCCCGCAAGACCCAGAGCTCCTCTGACCAGCTTCGCTTCCAGTAACTCCACCCCACCCAAAGAGGTAGCTGCTCGGCTATGGGGAGGGGTTGGGGTGTACACCTAGCAGCTCCTTGGATGCTTTCCATCTGTCCCTACTGCTGGTCCCAAGCCTGTCCTGCCTACTCTACTGGTGGAATTAGCACTCCACAGGGCAATTCCGCTGGCCTCACCCTTCCATCAGAACACGCTATTTCAATTTCTAATTCATGCTAGAAGGTGAGCAGGTCTCTTAATAGCCTTCTCTCTTCAAAGCATTGCCAAGAGCCAGGTGTGGTGGTGCATACCTGTAGAGGCTGAGGTAGGAAGACTGCTGTGCGTTTGAGGCCAGCCTGGGCTATATAGTGAAACCCTGTCTCAAAAAAAAAAAAAAAAAAAAAAAAAATTGTCAACCTCGTTGACATACTGATATCTTCTATATTCCTTCCTCTTGTAAATTCCTATCTGTTTTATTTCTTCAGTATCACTTTAGAGAGGCTCTAAGAGCAAAGCTTGAAGGTTGAAGCCTGCTATTTCCTATATTTACATAAAAAGGTGGAACATCCAGCTGCAGAGAGTCACAGAGGGGCACAGCCGTCCTCTGCAGCCCTAGCTGGATGCTTTGCCCTGATTCTTTTCCTGCTCTTTTCTCACCAGTTATGTCTATGGAAGGAGAAAGCATAAAGACCTGAGTTCAAACCCTGCTCCCTCCATTTACTACCCCATAATCTTAGAACATCAACTCCTCCAGCTTTACCTTTTTCACTCAACAAATAAGAAGCATAATTGCCACTGAGTGTACCACATTAGCTAAGAGAGGTTCCCAAGTTAAAAGCTCTTAGAATGTTGCAGAAATGCTTCCAGTCAGAAAGACTGGTCCTGTAGAGCATATCTGGATTCTCACTGCCAGTATCTCATTCTGCTAGAGCCAGAGGAGGCACAACCCTGGCCCCTCAGACATCCTGTGGTCTGCAGGCCTAATAAAGGAACGAGGAACAGCAGCCAGGGCAACAAAATGAGGACTAGAACTCGGTAAAGCTGCTGAGCGTGGTGGTGCATGCCTGTAATCCCAGCACTTGGGAGGCTGAGGCAGGAGGATTGCCGTGAGGTCAAGACCAACCTGAACTACATCGTTAGACCTTGTCTCAAAAAAAAGAAAGAAAGGAGCTGGGGATTTAGCTCAGTGGCATAAATGCCCACCTTACAAGTGTGCAGTTGTGAGTTTGATCCCCAATACCAAAAAAAAAAAAAAAAAAGAGAGAGAGAAAGAAAGACAAACAGACCTAGTGAAGGACAGAGGGAGGCCAAGGGTCCAGTGGTCACTTTATTAGCCTGGCAGAGAGGCAGCCAAGACTCCTCTGTAATCTCTGCCAAGAGAGGCATAGTCACAAGGCCTAAGCCCAAGCTGGAAGCTGGGCAGTGGCAAGAAAGGCTGAGAAAGGGCTGGAGTTGCCTATTCCAGGCATTAAGAATCAACCTGGCCTCCCTCCTGTGCCTGGAGGTGGGGCTGCAAACATGTTAACAGTCCCCTACCCCCCAGCTCACTTTACCCTGTTTAGTCTTAGCTCCTCCTGGAATCAGGACACCAGGAGTCCCACATCAGCTGTGGTCTGGAAAGTGATCCCATCCCCAGGCAGAGGGGAAGCCAGGAAAGGCCAGAGCCAGACGAGGGCCCAGCGGGGCCCCAGGGCTGCCTGCAGGTTGTGGCGGGCACCCAGGTCATAAGAGTGCTGGCCCCGTGCCCACTCCCACGTGGTCTGACCCCGCAGCAGCAGCATCCCATGGAACAGCAGCCCAGCCCCGCACAGCAGCGCGCCTGCCACGCACGTATCCATCACAAAGGCCAGAGCGAACTGGGCCAGAGACACTCGGCCTGCAGGGAGAGAGCAGAGAGGGTCAGGGGCAGCAGCTGCACCCAGCCCTCCCAAAGCCCAGTCCTCCCCCCGGATCCATCGCTACCCTCGCAGCTCACTGCCCTCATCTTCAAACACCAAGTTGTCATTCACTGGCCAACCCGTGCAGGATTATGGAAATACTGGTGAGCAGGACAGACAGCCCTGCCTGTGATAGGACTTCATTCACATTTCACAAACTTGGTGATTAAGTCCCGGATAGTGTAAATGCTGAGATGAGCTGGTACCTCTGCTCCTAGGAAGCTCTCAGACACTAAGCACACGGTTTAAAATACAGCATCTTACACTGTCTCTGTTACAGCACGCAACGAATATCTGCTGAATAATGAACCGCAAGATTCCCTGAAAAGGGGCTGGGGATTTAGCTCAGCGGCATAAGCGCCTGCCTTGCAAGCAGGCAGTCGTGAGTTCAATCCCCGGTACCGATAAAAAAAAAAAGGAAAAAGACAAAAAAAAAGATTCCCTGAAAAGTTGTGCTAAGTGAGAGAAGCCAGACACAAAAGCTCACATTATGTGGTACCCTTTATATAAGAAGTGCCAAATTCACTACTGCATAGAACGAGAAAACTGATTAATGGCTGCCAGGGCCAGAAAAATTAGGGAGAAATGGAGAGAATCTGCTTAGTGGGTTTAAGATTTCTTTTCTTCTTTGTTTTTTTTTCTGTACTAAGGATCGAACTCACAACTTGCCAGCTTACGCTGCTGAGTTAAATCCTCAGCCCCTCTTCCCGTATATATATATTTTGGTGGGGGGGGGGAGTATCAGGAGTCAAACTCAGGACCTTGTGCTTGCCAGGATAGGCACTTATGCTGATGGGCTACATCCCTGGCCCTAAGATTTCTTTTTGGAATGAAAATGTTCTACACTTTGATAGTGGGAACAGCTATACTACATTGTAAATATACTAAAAGCCACTAGATTGTACTTTATGTTTAGTTTTTTGAGCTACGGTCTCACTATGCAGTTCAGGTGGGGTCTTCAACTTTGTAGCCCAGGTTAGCCTTGAATGCACGGCAATCCTCCTGCCTCAGCCTCCCAAGTGCTGGAATTACTGGAGTGAGCCACCATGCTCAGCTTGAATGGTATGCTTTAAAATTACTAAAATGAATTTTACCTCAGTAAAGAAGAGCCCCATGATAGGAAGGTTGCCATACAAACTTTATGGGAGAAGGATTTGGTCTATTTCGATAAAGTGGGGAGAGAACATTCTGTTTGCAGACCGAGATGCACAGGTAACAGAGAGAGTCCACAATAGTCTCAAGTGGGACACACAGATCTGTGAGTGGTGGGGAACTGGGAGCTCCAAAAGCCCCAGGGTGCCTGGAGCTGCCCAAGCACCTGGAGCAAGAGGAGAAGCTGGCCATCCTCAGATGTCAGATAATGGGAAGAGCAAGCCCCGCTGGTGTGGGATGACTGCAATCCCAGCTAACTGGGAGACTCAGTTGGGAGGATCGCTTGAGCTCAGGAATTCACGATCAGCCAACGTCCACTTCAAAAATAAAAAGAACAACTAAGATAGATCATGTATAGGTACAAGTTCCCTATGATGAATGTGATACTTATGTATATATAAATTATACCAATAAACTTAATAAATAAATAAATACGTAGGAAACCAGAAAGGAAGATGGAAACACCATTAAAGTGAGAAGTATCAGTGAAGCCAAAGATGCAAAAGTCAAGGATGCAATGATTGGCAGTTTTTTAGCCTAAACCGTTTCCCTGAGTAAAAAAGGAACTGGAAAACCCTGCAGATTTGGTGGAAGCAGAGCCTGGACTTGTGGTGGTCTCAGATGAGGCAGGAGGGGCAGAAGCCAGGCTGGAGCAGGGGGAGGAAGAAGGGAAAATCAGCCATGAGCCCTGCACAAATCATTCTGGAAGCAGCAGACAGGATAGGAGAAGAGCCAGGTAGGAGAAAAATGTAGGGCCTGGCCGTCTACACAAGGTAGGAAACCCCAAAAGATGCCAGCAGAGGGGTCAGGGATGCAGGGGAGGAGTGGACACCACAGAGGGAGGTCTCTAGGCGGTAGGAGGGTGACAGACACAATCACCAGGGACAGTCAGCCAAGTGAGCACAGGATGACCGGGGAAGTAGCATCTGAGTTCCTTTCTCTCCATAATGGACCTGGGGGACAGGAGAATAGGGAAAGCTTTGGGGAGCAAACTTTTGAGGACAAAGGCTGGCCAGCAACAGCTGAAGGCCCATTAAGGTTAGTGACCATGAGCGTGGCAGGGGACCATTTCAGAGGCAAACACAAAGGACCAGGAAGGTAGGGCAGAAGGAGTATAAGCAAGGAAGCTCAAGATGTTGGAAGGAGAATGGTGGGAAGTAAAGGGCTCTACACTGAACAGGAGGCAGACAGAGGTGACAGCCAGGAGTCACAAAGTGGATAAATGAGAGAAGGGGAGGAGGCCAGAAAGAGGGCTGGCTGATGGGCTGCTTTTGGAGGTGACATTTCAGACTGTGACGAGGATGGGCATGTGAACATGAGCGGGAAGAGGAAGACAAATGGAGAACCTCAGGAAACAGGCATATAGATGCCAATGGGACCACTCACAGACTTCCACACGTTCGCGATCTCTCAGGGCCCAGGACTGAGACAGTAGGCGATGGGGCCTGAGACTCTGCTAGTTGGGAACCAGGACTGGAGGCCCGATGCAGCAAGGAGGAGCAACTGGAGCACTGAGCCTCAGTGCACCCCAGGGGCATCACGGAGGGTGGAGGTGGGCTGCTCAGGGCGCCACCAAAGGCAGAAGACAGGCAACCTCTGTGGTTTCCAGTCTGCCCCTGGTGTGGTAGCAGTGGAGTGGGGGGAGCTGGATTGGGGTAGGATGAAGAGGCACAGTGACATCTCAAGAGCTGGGGAGCTAACTAACAGGACAAGTTTATAAAGATAGTAGGAAGGTCAGGAAGAAGAATGCAAGAGAGAAAGCCCACATATCCTGGCAGGGAGAGAAGAGAGAAGGAAAAAAAGTCTATGAAATATTATCATGGGTAGTGTCAGGGGAGAGATACTCGTGTTATTGGGAACACAAATCTTAGCTTCCTGACCCAAGTCTTCTCCTCCCAACTGCCAATGAATGGGCACCTGCCTGCCTGGGACTTCCGCTGGCTCCCCACTGCCCCGTCCAATCACAGCCATGTGCTCACACCAGGGTTCAAGGCCTTGCACCATCCAGTCCTGACCTGCTGTCCTAGCCTCCATCTCACAGCCCCCACCAACTTGCCTTTGCTCCTTTTCGGGCCTCTCTTCATGCGGCTGCCCTCACTTAGAGTGCCTCTTAACACTTTCCACCACCCACCACCCCCATGGCCCCTGCTTCTCTTTCCTCTTCTGCCAACAAGTCCTGGAATCCTTCCTTGCTCTCCTAGACAAAACCCAACCCTAGCCAGGGGGCGCTGTACTGTACAGGGCTGCACACCCACTAGGCTGCCCTTAGCCCCACAGATGGCAGTAGGACTGGTCCCCAGGGCACTTCCAGGAAAACCAGCCAAAAACTCCACCTCCCATCAAAAGGGTTTTTAATCCCTGGACCAGTGCGGGCCACCTGGGGTACCTACCTGTAAGCAACATGAGCCAGGGCAGCAGGAGGAGGGCGGCAGTGTGGAGGGGTGCGTGGGCCCGCAGCAGGGCTGATAGGGCGGGACCCAACAGCACAGAGACGTGGAGCAGGACACCAGAGGCGTGCAGCAGCAGGCACAGGAAGTGCCGGTAGTTGTGGAAGCCCACGCAGCGGCCCAAGAGGCGGCAGTGATGGTCCCGACGCAGGATGCAGACACGGCAGGCAGAGCAATGCCCGCTACGTGGTGGCACTTGGCTCTGGCACTGGTAACAGAAACTGCAGCAAAGGAGCCACAGACAGTGTCAGGGCCAGCAGCTCTGAGTGCCCCAGATCCCACCCAGTGTAAGCCCCTGCACCCAATCCTGGCCAAGCCTCAGGTTCCCTGCAGAAAAAGCAGGTTAAGGCTCCCCAGGCTGGGCAAGGGCTGCAGATCTGGGATGGCTTCCCACTCTGAAATCCCTAGGCCTAAGGCCTTTCTCTGACCACTAACCCTCAGTCTTCTCACGTCTTCCACACTGCCCCAAATCACCATGAACTGTCCCTGCCATTATCACAGTAGCCTCTTGACTATCAACTCGAAGCATAATCTCACCCCAGAAACCAGACTGAGCCATCTAAAGCTTACTCCATGTCCCTACTCTGCTCAAAACCCTCTAATGGCTGTCCATTTTCTTGAAGTGAAAAGCAAAGCCTTCAATGTGGTGGAAGGTGTTTATGGCTCTAACATCTCTCACTCCACCCCTATCACTCAAGATGTCTTACTGTTCTGGGAATATGCTAGCTACACGACTGCCTCAGGTCCTTTGCATGGTCTGGACCCTCTACCTGGAACATGCTGCCCTCAAATGCCCACAAATCTAAGTCATCTCCAAGTTTTTCTCAAATGCCTCAATGAGGTCTCCCTTGTCTACCTATTTATTTATTTTTGGGGGAGGGCAATGACATAAGGTCTTGCTATGCAGTGCAGGTTGATCTTGAACTTTGAGGGGATCCTCCTGCCTCAGCCTACTGAGTGCTGAGATTACAGGCATGTGCCACAATTCCCAGCATTTACTTTTAATTGCAATGTTCACACTAAGTTCTGAATATAATGCAGAATTATTAAATCAATGTGATTAACCAATCCATCCACTCAGTTATTTCTGGTGGTGAGGGCTATTTAAAACAGAAACCTGAATACCTTTAGCGTGTTTTCTTTATGCATCAAGGATTGAATCCAAAGGGCAGTGGGTTATATCTCCAGCATCACCACCCCCCTTTTTTTTTTTTTTTTGTACTGGGGATTGAATCCAGGGCCTTAGTACTAAGCAACATTCTCAGTCCTTTTTATTTTTGGGATAGGCTCTCACTAAGTCATTAAATTATCTAGGTCCTTGCTATTTTCCTGCTTAAGCTTCCCAAGGTGACAGGACTACAGGGCACACCACTACATCTGGCTTCCAACCCTTTTTAAATTATATTTTGAGCCAAGGTCTCAGCAAGTTAACCAGATAGCGATGCTCTGACTTTTGTTCCCACACCACTGATGTTTGACATTTTATGTAATTTACATATTTATCAGATCTATAGTTTATCCTGTCCCCATACTGAGATCTACTCTAAGCGGTGGAGAATCAGTTTTATTGTACCCCAGTCCCTGAAATAGTATCCTGCACATTGGAGATGGTCAATATTTGAGTGGAAAAAATAATGCCTCATTCTTGCTCTTTCATCCCAAGTTTTGTGGATCTAACAACCCAGCTGAAACGTAATTTGGTTCTAACATCTCGGGTCTGAGGCCCCTCTCCCGCCCCAGGCTCCCCCATGTGCCCGCGAACCCGGCGCCCCACTCACGCCCAGCCCTGGCCCAAGCCGCGGCCGGCCAGCATCACGCCCCGGATGCTGGGGTCCGAGCGCAGGAACAGCCCCACGTTGCCCAGCAGATTAAGCAACTGGAAGGCGGCCAGCGCGAGCTGCAAGGCCCGGGCTAGGGGTCCCAGAGGGGGCGGCCCGGGACCCAGCACAAGCACATAAGCCAGCTCCAGGACCACCGCGGCAACCCACAGCGTAGTGAACACGAGAGGCAGCCGCGCGGGCGAGCGCTCTGCGTTCCCCGAGGCCCACGGCTGCCCCATGGCCTGGACCCACTGGCTCTGGGAGCTTTAGGACCCCGCCGCTTCCGCATTAGGGTAGGGATAGCGGCAGACGGACGTCTTCAGCGACCAATAGAGACTCGAAAGGGGTGCGCTGAGCGCTAGACTCAAAGAGATGATTGGTCAATTGAACGAGCCAGGCGGTGCTCAAAATCTGATTGGTGCTAGAGTCCAGACCACACAGCTAAATCATCATCCCGCCCATTTCTCAGCTCCGCCCCTCCAGCGGCAGCCCCGCCCGCCGGTGGAGCTGGCTGACGCTCCGACGAGATTGAGTTGCAAACTCTGTGGCGTCGGGGTTTCCCGGCTCAGCACATTCTGCCCTATCACCCCACAGCTGCCCCGATATTAATAGCCCTGGGCAGGACCATCCAGCTGGCTAGGAGCCCCTATCTATGCTCGGGTGTCTCCTTCATCACCCCAGAAAACATTAAAACAGCTCGGCGCCCCCATGTTTCTAATCTGTTTCCCCATCCGCGAGGCGCGGGAAGAGGTTCTGGAAAAAGCCCCGAGGGCAGCTTTTAGGACGTTCTGCAACCACTGTCGTGGTAGTCATCTCAGTTTTACAGATGTGGAAACAGAGAGGGCCTGTGGCTCCCCTGGGGTCACACAGCACCCAAGCCGCGGAACTGGGACCGAACCCCGAATCTCCGCCACGAAACCCACCCTGACATCTCCCAATTCCTCAACCCCTGGCTCCAATGCAATCTCTAGTTTGGTCCCGACCCGAAAACCCTAGCCCCTGTCCGGCCCCACCCTCCTCCCCCATATTTAGTGCGAACCCGATCCGGGGCTGGGCTGGGCCCTACTTAACCGGGCCGGGGTGTCCCAGAGCGCGCCGAGCGGAGCGGAGCCAGGAGCCAGGGCAAGATGATGATGGTTATGCAGCCCGAGGGTCTGGGGGCCGGGGAGAGCCCCTTCGCGGGCGGTGGGGGCGGCGAGTACATGGAACAGGAGGAGGACTGGGACCGCGACCTGCTGCTGGACCCTGCCTGGGAGAAACAGCAGCGGAAAGTGAGTGTTCGCCCATTTCCCCACGGCAAAACTGAGGCCTGAGAGACCAAGCCGTAGTTCTGGAGCATTTCAGTGGTGCAGGGGCACAACCTGACCTAACCCAATCTGCCACTGCCCAGCACAGACGCTGCCCACCGGCCTCCTGCTGTCCCCTAGGGCTGGAAATGCAGGCTGGGAGCCTTCATGAGGGTCTAGGATGTCAAAGACTTCCAGGGTCCCCCCAATCGTAGGCTTATTCTTCTGGGCTTACTGCCCCATTTCTGCTGGCGAAAAGCACATTGGGTAAAGCCCAGGAGTTGCAAGCTGAGGGGACAGGTTTCAGGAGGAATAATCTCTTTCTCCACACCCACTCTGCTCTCTAGTTAAATATTCTGAGACCCCACTCTAAAGGAGACACCCTAGACCCTGGGGGACTTGAGAGTGTGGGGAAAGGGAATATCTCAAATCCCACTCCACCCTCTTCTCTGTATACTTTCCAGGGTCAGCAGCCACTCTATTTCATTTGACAGTTGAGGAAACTGAGGCTCAGAAAGAGGCAGAGACAGGTTCGAAATCATACACTGTCGGAAAACAGGAGCCTTCTGTCTCGATCCTTTGTCCCACTCCCACCCTTTTCCAAAATGCCCCTTCTGCTTCAGTCGCCCTGAGTCTGCTGAAAAGGCCACCGGGTTGGGGAGGAGGGGAGCCCCGGGTCCCCTTACCGGGTAACCTGATACTCCAGCCAGATGGGCACTTTGTGCTGAGACAGCACCTTGGAGGAGCCTAAGAGGAGCCCTTGGGCAGCTGCAGCCCTGCCCAGCCTTGTAGGGCACTTGAGCCCTCCTCCCTCCCTGAACTATTTTCATTCCCAGACTTTCCCCAGAGGAGGGGGCAGAACACCTGGGCTCCCTAAAGAGAAAATGATCCCAGCTTGAGAGAAAAATTTGAGGAGTGGCAGAGGAGGGGTAGGGAGGCACCATGAGGTCATCAGGCACTGCCCAGTGTTTGGCAGCAGAGCGGGGCTCCTGGAAAGGGCAGGGCACTGGGTGCTGTGTGGAATTTACAGGATCTAAGAATCCTAGAATCTAGAATCAGAGGACTTCCGCTGGGTTAGGTGTCAGGAATTGATCCCAGGGGTTGTGAGGCTGAGCAGACTCTCCTGGCGTGTCCTGGGGGATATACCCCGCCCCAGGCTGCTCCTGCACCTGTCTCACAGCATTGGCTGTGGTCCCTGGATTTGGTAATCTCCGGTGATGTCATCCCTGCTCCTGGCTCCAGCTGTCATTTGCTTTGCAATAATTCCTATTCCCACCCCCACCGCTGAGGATTCTCCCATGTGCAGGTCCACATGTCCCTCATGGGACACATGCCAGTCTATATCTTGTCTTTGTCATCTAAAATATCAGAGGCATCCATTTATCCCAGCTTACAATTACCCACTCCATCCATTCTTCCCACAGCTGCCCATGGTAGATCTCTTGGTCAATTAGCACCCCCCTATTGTTGGTCATTTGGGTCATTCCTTCACTTCCAAGGTTATTTATCACAAGGTTGTATGTATCTTCATGGGCTGGAGATTTAGCTCAGCGGCATAAGTGCCTGCTTTACAAGTGCATGGTCGTGGGTTCGATCCCTGGTACCGGTTTAAAAAAGAAAAAAACAAACAAAAAAAGTATCTTCGTATACCTTTAATCATCACTTTAAACCTGCCCCATCCCTGCTCCTGTGTGCTGTCTTTCTTAGCAGTACCTCCTTCATCCAATCATTTCCACAGACCTGGAACACACCTCCCTCCTCACAACTGATGCCTGCTCTTCATACGAAAACATTTGTAAGCCAGGCATGGTGGCATATGCTGTAATCCCAGCACTCGGGAGGCTGAGGCAGCTGGATTACTGTCTCAAAAAAAAAAAAAAAAAAAAACCAAAAATATTTGTTAAATAAACATTTCTTAAGAAGTTCCAGTGCTATTGGGTGCCAGGATTCAGCAAGAGACAAAATAAAGCCCCTGCCTCTTACCTCAACCCCTTCCCCTTCCCCCGCAACACCCTTCCTCTCTTGCCCTTGCCCCCCACCCCTTGCCACCTCTTCCTCGCCTGTCCCTGCGGCTGTGCCAAGCCTTTGTCTCCACTCTGCAACCAGAAGGAGCTCTCTGGAGCACAGCTCTACCCACCTCCCTCCTGCCCGAAGCTTTGCTGATTCCCTGTGGCTCTCAGGATCAAGTTCAAACTCCCCAGCTTAACATCCAAGATCGTGCATGACCTGGCCTCTGTTGCCCCTCCGGTCGGCCTCTCATCACTGATGCCCCAACACCTCCGGCTTCATTCCAGCAATGCCCAGAAAGTTAAGCCCCACAAACAGAGCAAGTGGCTGCCCCTGCCTGGAAAGTTCTTGCCTGCTCTTCTCTGGTAGTTCCTGCCCTTCTCTTGCAACTCTGATCAAGTGTCAGCCCCTCCCTCCAGGGGTTGACATATACCCTCCCCACCAATTTTGTTCTCCCCAGTGAGACCCAGAGCATCCAGACCTCAGGTTAGAAAGAACTGCAGAGACAAATGCCCTCTCTGGTGCTTGCCTCCCCACTGGGTAGTACTAAGTACACATTTATACAACTCCACTGACAGGAAACTCACTCCAGAAGCCAGATGGAGCTGGGCCTAGGTGCTTGGTGAATCTTCCACAGCCTTGTATACTTTGAATCTCCCTGGAAGCCAATCCATAGGCCTCAGTGTGCATGTGCCTCCATTTAGAATTTCTCAGAGTTTGTATCTCTGACCTAACCCCTTCAACTTAGGGGACCCCACACTCTGGGGTATGTTAAAATGTTTAAGTCCCTTCCAGTCCTTAAAATCAGCCAAGCCGGGTATGGTGATGGTGGTGCATGCCTGTAATCCTGGCACTTGGGAGGATTACTGTGAGTTCAAGGTCAGCCTGGGGTACACAGTGAGTTCAAGGTCAGCCTGAACTACATAGCAAGACCCTGTCTCAAAAATTAAATTGAATTAAATTAAATTTTTAAAAGTCAGCCAAGGCTAGAATGCTGGCTGTAGAACTAGCACAAATCTAATTTTCTCCCCCTTTTATGACAACTAAAGCTGAGAGGGAGAGAGAGAGAGACAGAGACAGAGACAGAGACAGAGACAGAGACAGGGCGGGTGGGGGGGATGCCCAGGACCTACAGCAAATTAGCACTGAGATGAGAAATCCATTCAGGGCCTTGGGCTCTGAGATGTGCCCTGCCTGAGCAGCCAGTCATAGGTTCTTAGCACTCTCCTCTGTCCCCAGACCTTCACTGCCTGGTGCAACTCACACCTGCGCAAGGCAGGCACCCAGATTGAGAACATCGAGGAGGATTTCCGCAACGGCCTCAAACTGATGCTGCTCCTGGAAGTCATCTCAGGTGAGGGTGACATCTGTGCTCAGTGCCCCAGGACCCAGGGGAATAGGGGAGCTGGGACCATGGTGGGAGGAACTCTGGAGGGAACTTGGCAGGATAGGGGTCCCTGAGGACAGTGTCTTCAGCTGCTTCTCATGATGGTCAACCTTTGTTTTTTCTTCCTCAGGAGAGAGGCTCCCCAGGCCAGACAAAGGCAAGATGCGCTTCCACAAAATCGCCAATGTCAACAAGGCCCTGGACTTCATTGCCAGCAAGGGGGTGAAGCTGGTGTCCATTGGTGCTGAAGGTGAGAAGGGGCAGGAGAAGACCTGCGGGGAGGAGGGAAGCTCTTCTGGCCTCACCTCTGTGAACCTCAGTTTCCTCATTTCGACAATGGGCATAATCATCCCTGCCTCGTGAAAGAGACCAAAAGGAATAAATATACCCTAAGTGCATGCCAGCACAGCACCTGGCACCTAGTAGGTGGTTGATAAATCATTTTAAAATAACAGTACAGCTGGGCAAGGCAGCACATGCTTGTAATCCTAGCAGTAGGGAGACTGAGGAAGGAGAATGTAGCCTTGACTACATAGTAATGCAGTGTCTCAAAACAAACATACAAATAAATAACTACACGAGCTTACTGAGTACCTGCTAGGCGCTCAGTT